TAAACGATGCTGGCAATTCCCTTGGTAAGACGGATTTCAGAATTTACCAATGAATGTATAATTTTGTTTAAATAAAGCACATGCTGTGATTGAATAAACACATATCGATCAGCGATGTTCATCATACAAATCATTAGGTTACATGGGTATATATATATATATATATATTGAGAAGATCCGTTGAAAACAATACACGATTGAAAGCAATGACATTGTGATCTTGCCCCTGATGGTAATTTTTTTCATAGCTTTTATCAAATCACCGCCTCCAGTGTATTAAAGTCCTATTATAATAATCAGAAAGCAATTTCCGCGCATCTTTATTACCTGCTCGTTCTACACTGTTCCATTAGCGTCGACAGAGAAGGCTTGATTGAGAAGTGAAACTGCCCTTTCTTTTATTTATGAGACATGAATGGTTATCAAGTGGCCCTTAAAGCCGGCGAGTCACAAACAATGCATTGTGTAGTTACGTGTTATATGTCTTTTTTCCGCCATAAAGAGTGGACACCATGTCAGAAATTGTATAACAAATTGGGTCGTGCGCATGTGAACAGATAAACAGACACTGGGCGGTAAAAACGTTTTCCTCTCACACACATTGTCCAGGAAAATACACATTTTAAAAAAGCCACAACGAGAAATATATTTAAAATAATAAGTAATACAGATTGTAAATCGCATTTTGTTCTTCTCGTGGGGGGGGGGGGGTGTTACAGTGACATTATTCGCCATATTTTGAAATATTACATATTAAATATTCATTTTACGTAAGAACATAATCGGTGAAATGTGTCCTCCACTGTTTAAACGCAGACTGACGTGAATATGACGAATACAGTACCATGTCGATTCATTAGAGATCGTATACTACTACTGTCAGTGTCTAATGATGCAAGTCGCGAGACAGCGTGATGAGGGGTGTAGATATTAGAACGCATCAACGCCCATGGCGACAACGTTGAAAAAAAGGCAATAATATCCGCTCTGGCGAAAGTAACTATTACGAATCCACGTGACAAATTCATATAGATGAAGACGTGTGCAAGACAATGAATGGCGGTAAATTGACCGACCGTGAGGGCTATTCAACTCTCCCCGTTATGTTGCTGGTCACGGTGAGCATTGAATGTTATTTAATGGAGAATAAAATGCTCATACAGTTCATTACAAGCGAATTACCGGGTAACGAGTTGTGGATCTCATATATATTAAACCCATTTATGTCTCCTGTGTAATAAGGGACGCTGATTGCATCGCTCCCCATGGGAGAGATCCGTGTATGAACGTACTTTTATCGCCGACCGGATATTTCACTAATTACGTTATGCCTCCAAAATAATAACCCTGCACCATCTCTAAGTATCGTTATCGTAGTACTATGACTTCATGCATGTGCTTCAGATAAGGATGTGCTTCATGGCAGTTTTGCAATGTCACGTGCTTGTGGGTCACAGTGGTATATATGCACTACGAATATTCATATGGGATATGGGTTAAGTGAACGCATCAAATTTATTTAACAAAAGTTATTAAACGAAGGTCATTACAAAAAACAATAGCTGTCGTTTTGGAGATGGAACAGTGTGCAGAACTTGAAACACCGTGAGAACCAAAGATGAGCTGAATTACGGAACATGACAATTTAATCCACTGACCTAATATTCACACGATAGCCATGGCCATAGCGCATGAGATGCGCGTTGCATACATAAAACGAAAGATACAAAAGACTAACACCTGGTGGCTTGTGTTTATTCCAGTTCGTCCAGTAGAAGGGGAAGTCACCTCGAAACAAAAGTGACAAACCTTTGTTGCTCGAACTAAATTATGTAGTATGGGGGCGTAATCAAAATTGAGAAATAAAAAAAATAGAACTTTTAATTTTATTCAGCTCTCCTCCTTCAGTAACAAGAGGTTTTGGAATACTGTTATCAACAACATTGTCATCGTTTATTGTGTGCAACAAATACATTGTGGTAGATGGACATTAAAACGCACAATAATGATATCCATATATCAAAATATGTCAACATTATATCATTTTTAATAGGCTTTTTTTCATAGCATTTTTTATATAAAAAAAATAATTCATTAAAAAAAAAATCAGCCGAGACAGCACATCACAAAGAGCTCAGTTTATCGTAAAGCAACCTCTGTATGTATTATGTAGACTTTATTAAAGTAGCTATGTACGCGTCTTCGTTTAAGACTAACTGACACAATGTATATGTCGTGGCTTTTTCGTCAATAGTCAAGTTCAATTGTAAAATTATCTCGAACAAAGAAGTAAACGGACTTTGATGTGTACGCGCATCGTAATTAAAGGGGCAAAAATAACGATTGAGAACGCAGAGGCGTTTTGTATTCAGTGTCACACGCGTTTATTATTATCAAGCTAAATTTATTTTGATGACTGCTTCAATTAGTTGGAATGACACTTCTCAAAAACTAGTTATTGTTAGGCATGCTCTCCGTTGACCCGACCCCAAAAATATTGGATGATCATTTGACAGATGTCGTATGGCTGAGATAATGGGTCCATTACTCACTGCTGATATGCACGGTTCATATGTCGATAAGATGAACGCAAGTAAACATAAGAAAGGTCATTGAAAGATATAACAAAAGCATTATCAATCATACATACATTATACGCATACATGTGAACGCAGCGAAAAACATTTTGCAAGTTGACATCGCTCGTATCGGCGTACAGGCACGGTAACCAGTACTTTCGTTATTCCCGATTAAACGATGAACGTGCATGTGGTATCGAATGATTTCCTTATTTCCTATGGGATATTGGAATTTAATTCGAGCTACATTGATTAGTTTTTCTTTTTCTTTTTTGGAAGCAGGAATGAATGACAATTTAATAATAAACACACTATGCACGTTCGCTAACCCGACGTAATTTCTCATGACCGATATAGCCGACGCCGTCTAGATCCGGATTACATGGTCCAATTATATTTTACTCTGAAAGCAATCCCGCGAACTTTACTGAGAAAAAAAAACACACACACTAATGACTGAAGATGTAAACTTTCCATAAAGCCTTTCGCCTGAAAAAATTCTTGACACACTGGCTATACAGTTATAGTAGTTACACCTGAAGTAAATGCAGGGGGTAAATGTACAAAAGTTGAGTTAAGAATAACAGATGTCTATGTAAAGATGGGCCCTCGTTTGCCAGTAATATCGTTATATGTAAATTTAAAATGTATCAATGAAATTAAACTTTAAGATTATTGTTGTTCATTCGTTCAAACATAAACCAATTGAAAACGTAAAACGCTGTTATGTTTATGAGCAAAAAAAATCATCGTTGATGACAGATTATAATAAATACCGCTTTGAGTTTTCGCGTAGTACAGGTCGCATGGGACCAATATCGAACACGACGCGTCGCGACGATCAGCATAGTTTAAAATAACCACCATGGCAATTTACACACGTGAAATTCATTTCTTAACCATTTCTATATACATCTATATAGAAATATGTGCGTTTGGAAGTGTCGGTCATGTTACGGAGTATTACACCGAGCCATAAAGAAACAACTTAGCAATGCATCATATGATTGTGACAGAAATGCCGCGAATGAAAGATAATAACATATACACTTTTCAACCTTTTCAGGTGTTGGCAAATGTTCCCATGTGAATGGAGAAATCTGAAAACGACTGCCGTGTAATTTGAATCCTGTTTGCTATTGTATCAATGTATATAGTGCACAACAAAGAAGCGACGTCAATTCATTTCAGCGAATTCAATCGGGAAATGAATAAACACTCCGATTGTGCCACTGACCGTTTTACTTCTATCCGAGAATATTACATATACATTCGCGCGCCAGTCCATTCACTCACTCGTGCAAGGCTGTTGTTATTGAATTATAAATGCCGAGGCCTGTCATAGTAATGCGTCATATGATTGTGATAGAAATGCCACGAAACGTTCGTCGATCTCCACAGTAAAATCTTGGGACAAATAACGTGTTTTTAACTTTCGGTTAATGTTTTTTTTTATTTCCTCGGAATATTTTTTTCTATTATATCTCGGATCTTTAGGTAAATGTTTTTTTTTTATTTCTGCAGGATATTTTTGTTTTCTCTTATATCTCGGATCTCTGCAACACATCAATGTGATAATATCCGCACCAAAGATGCCGAATCGTCTGGGAAAAGGCTTCGATTAACAATATACAATAAAATTGAACAGAGCTTTACATATAAACAAGAAAATGATTTCGATTGCGCGCACACACACACACTATCTCCACGAGTTTATGTCTTGAGGCGGAATATTGAACATAAATGCAGAATAACCAAGGCAATCAAGACAGTTATACGTTAACTAGTTTTGTATCCATCTGTGTTGAGTATGTCCTTCTGTTGACAGTGGAAGTCGATCATAAATCCTTTCACGAGAGAAGGCGTTTCTGCTTAATACCACTACAGTGAATTATTATATGACGACGAATGAGGCCATGCCTTTACACGGTAGTTGAAGTGTTGTATATGGTAAACTCGCTGTATAATAACTGCACATTAACGGTCAATGGATGAAATATGTATATCGCAGATAACAGTCCAACATATCTCGGCTTTAGATACACGTGATTACTATTTTTATTGCAGTAATCCAAATTCTAAAATAGTAGCTGTATTGTAAGGGTTGGTGTTTACCATTCCAGTAAATGTGAGTGTTGACTTCCGTGTTTCGTTGAGAATAGACAAAACAGTATCATGAATCAAATGCCTTATTGTTTTAATTACAAAGTTACAAGATATAAACTGAGAAGCAAATTCTGAACCAGTAAAACAGCGATAAAAATGTGGAGTACACGCACCACGAAGCGCAGGACAAGATGCTACGTCATTGCAGTTTAAAACGAGTGCGATAGGACTATTTGTCCCCATGATGTCAAAAACCACTTGTTGAAATGAGGTGTTTTTTATGATAAAAGCAGACCATCGAGAAAATAAACTCACCTTTATCCCATCGAGCTGTTTCAAGGGCAAGTTGTCTAGGTATTCATTTTCGATAGCCTGGAGTTCAAGTTGTTCGCACGATTCTTGCTCGCATTGTCGGGTTTGGCCGTCTTCTTCTTTTTGTACGTTTTGGACACTCGCTCCTTCCACCGAAATTGCCCATGGCAATGGTAGCATTGCACATATAACAAAAACAACGCTAAACTCAAAACGACCAAACGTTTTGGAAAAAAACATGTCTCTACTAAGTTTGTTTCCGCGTTTAAAAAATCCGAGTTATGTGCACACAGAAGATGGTTCCGTCTCTCACCCTCTCGAAACGTAGTCTGCTGCCGTCAACGCGTTGGTGACTCCTTTCACTTGTGATTTCACTGCCACGAATAGATCCCCTCATAACATTTCGCGGAGACTACTTATCTAAACGCTTGATATCATACTAGGCTTATACTGACTCCGTCGAAGACGTCATTAATTTTGCAAAGGGAAAGCTAAACCCGGAAGCACCATGTTTGAGCAATCAAATTCTTTCGCTGCAAACTTGGACAAATCTTCACAAAGTTAGGGCGTACTGCCATTCCTGTCCACTCTCGCGAGACATTGATCAAGGAGCGAGACTTGCGTGAGGCAACATGGCGGCGTGTTTGAAGTTTGACTACTGTTAAAATATGTTCGGAAACCGTGATTCGCTACAAACTATGTTAACTGTTAATTACAAATAATGGTATTTCATGTTTTACGGTAACAAATATGACGGAAGAGACATTTAATTATGGTAAGAAACCGATTCGCCAGTCGTTTCAAAATATTGAAACTTTGTTATGCGTTGGTGAGGCTCTTCGCAATCATCTTATATATGATGTCATGGATTTTGACTTTTTAACCTGGTTGCTTGGTGTTGCTAAGTGAAAATGAAATGACTCATATTTACTATATGTGCTATAGTTGTACTATACAATTCGTGGTAATTGGTACACCCATCGTCCCTCAACAGGACGGTGGTACACCATTGCTGGCTCCTTGTATTTGTATGTATTTTTTTATGTCTTGTCATACCACAGGGAGTCCAGGAACTATAATCAACTATACGTAGTCCCTATGAGCGGGGGGGGGGTATCGGCTGGTATCTAGTGTAAGAAATAGACAAGGGATGAAGGGTCCAGCCAGCTCACATTTTTTAAACTCGAAAAAACAGACGAAAAAAATAAAAAATAAAATCTAAAAAAAATACCAAGTTGAAGAATATTAGTTGCTACTTCGAATTTCGCCTAAGCCTTACCTACATTTTACCGATATCTGCAGAATAAATCAAGAAAACTACACAAATTGACTCAATTTAGGAATTCCTAATGGTTAGTTCGAACGCTTGACACAGTTGGAGACGTGGCCTGTTCAGCATTTTGTCAACAACCAATCACAAGACTGGTTACGAACCACATCGAGGTCACAACTCGGTTA